CAGTGGATGTCATTATTGAAAATCATAAAGGATCTGTTTGTCTTTGTGGAGACCTCAATATGCCATATTGCTCCTGGTAAACTGAGGAATACTGCTCAGTACCTACAGTGACAGTGGGGGAACAAAATCATATGGGAGATGTGGTTACCTTAATGGGTGATACCTGTGCATTTTACAATTTATATCAGGTGAATAAAGTTGCTAATAACACTGACAGAATATTATCTACAAATGGGAATGCTATAGCGACCTTGAGTGATGAAGCACTGGTTCCAGCTGATGGTTACCATTCTCTTTTGAGCTTCCAAATTGTGAACTCTTTAAATAATAATAATAATAATTTATTATTTACCATATAAAACAAAAATATACAAAGTAGTAACTCTAAAAATATTGCCTAGAAAGATAAAAACGTATGGTAAATAAATCATTCTAATGTGAGCGGTTCCCAGAAAGACATTTTTTATTATGATTTTAGATCAGCTGATTTATCTCTGTCGAACGATTGTTTAGGTCAGGTAAATTGGGATGACTTATTATTACATCACTTAGCGAATGATATGGTTAATATTGCTTATGATATTCTCTATTTTTTTATCCATGCTATAATTCCACAAAAAAAGCATTAAAAAGAAAAGTTCCATTATGGTTCTCTCCCTAGGGTTAAAGCAGCTGACAATATTAAAAAAACAAGCTCACAAAACATTTAAAAGTTTAAGATTACATAGCGATTATATTAATTATAGTAAATTACGTTCCGATTGTAAAACTTTATTAAAAAGGTGCTCTCAAATGTTTATTGTAAATTCTGAGTCTTCTTTAACAGACCATTGAAACATAAAACTGTTTTGAAATTTTGTTAAGAGTAAACGGAACAGGAATGATTTACCACCACCATTGCTATTCCTTAATGATAGTCAATGTCATTTGGGACCAAATTTACCTGATCTTTTTGCAGAATACTTCCAGTCAGTATATACTGATAAGAATATTGATCCTCAAAGTAAACCATCACATTTCTATATCTGAGTATCTTATTCCTATATCAACCATTTATGAAGAGATGGCTAGTATTGACATTACCAAGGGACCAGGACCTGATGGTATCCCCCCTTCTATTCTCAGATTTTGTAGTTTTGTTCTCTCGCAGCCGCTTCACATTATATTTAATAAGTCTCTTGCTTCGGGCATATTCCCAGATATCTGGAAAGTGAGCTATCTTACACCTATTTTCAAGTCTGGTAACAGAGCTGACATATCCCTATGTAATCTTAGTTCCATTCCAAAGTTGTTTGAGAAGATAGTAGCTGATTACTTAAGATCTAAATTAAGTTTATCAATAGTAGAACAATTTGGGTTTCTTAACAAAAAATCTACAGAACTGCATTTACTTGCTTTTGTCGACTATCTGTCGGACGTCTTGTATGGAGGTGGTGAGGTGCATGCCATATTCACATACTTTTCCAAGGCCTTCGACAGGGTCAATCACAAACTTTTGTTAAATAAACTGGAGACTGCTGGTATCATGGGAACATGGCAATGGCTGGCTAGTTATTTATCTAAAAGATTCCAAACTGTTAAATTGAATAATTACAGATCTAAAAATATTCCCAATCCATCTGGAGTCCCCCAAGGGTCTCATTTGGGACCTTTGTTATTTTTATTATTTATAAATAATAACTCGGTATGTTTCAAGTTTTGCCAAATTTTTTTGCTTTGCTAATGACTTAAAGTGCTACCTAGCAGTTTCATCTCTTGAGGATTGTCTCAAACTTCAGTCTGATCTGGCTGGACTTGAGTGGTGTGCGAATAATACTGTGGACCTAAACATCACTAAGTGTCACTCGATATCCTTTACTAGGAAGATCAACAGGATTGATTATCAATATAATATCAAGGGTACACCAGTGTCCCAAGTTGCATCCATTTGAGATACGGGTGTTATTATGAACTCCATGCTCTCATTTGTCAATCACATTGACACAATAGTACCCAGAGCACTTGGTATGCTTGGGTTTATAAAGAGAAACACATGCTATCAGGTTATTGTACTGTAGTAGTCTTGTTAGGCCTCTGCTAGAATATTGCTCTTCAGTCTGGAACCCCCAATATACTTGTCACATTCATAGATTAGAACAGGTTCAGAGAAAATTTCTTCGCTACTTAGCATTTAAATCAAATATTCCACGGATAGATGACTTTTGCCATGATTTTGCGGCACTGCAAGAGACAGTTTCCTTACCAGCTTTGAGAATAAGAAGAAATAATTATATGGTTGACTGCCCTACATTGATTTCAAGCATGTTGTTGGCAGTCCCAACTAGAAGCTCAAGATCAATAAACAGTTTTCATCAGTCCTACATGAGATTTAATACTACCTCAATTCATTCATGCCCAGGGCCGCCGAGAGCCAGACCGGACCCCAGGACAATTCTTCAATTGGGCCCCGCTACAACTTTTTAAAAAATTAAAAAAAAAAGGTCTTCAAGCAAACATTTCTCCTCCTCTACTTGAAATTCTCTAAAAAAGTCTTCGACCAAAAATTTCTCCCCTCTTGTGTCATAACAAAAAAATTCTCCCCACCGCTGCCGGGCCCCTCTTATACCGCTGCCGGGAACTGGTCCCGGCTGCCCCCCTCCAGTCGGTCCTGTTCATGCCTAGTTTCACGAAGCGCTAATGCTGATAATCAAGAATTTGTTAATTCAAGCTTTTCTAATTTTGTGAGGGTGTTAAAACTTACTGTGACTTAAATTCCTTTGTCTTAATATTAGTTGTTTCGATTTTGTACTTATTATTAGTTTATCATTATTATGACATATTATTTAGATTGACTCTATTTTTTTTTTTTTTGTTTTTTGTTGTAACTTTGTACTGAAAATGGGCAAGGCCCGTGAATAAATAAATAATTCACATACTTTTTATCCAAGTTTTAAAGTAAAGTGTCTCAAAAAGTTAACTTTTTTATTATGGATTACTAAAAAAATGTGTGTTCTTCCATAATCCTTCATAATACATAAAGGTTGTCATAAAAATTTTTAAGTGGGGTAGCTTGCGGTAAATATTTAAGGGTCCAACTTAAATTTTACTAGAAATAAAATCATTCAACGGTTTTATGCCGATACTCAGTATATATATCACCTGGAGCCAAATTATTGCTCCATTTGTGCATTTATTAAGACTTCCAAATCAATGCAGATTATTATAAACACAATGGCTCATAATTGTGCTACCACAAAGCCCAGCGACTAACCTAATTCTATTGATTAATTATGATTTAATACTTCCCAATGTAATTTTAGATCTCAGTTCATCTCTCATAAATTATTATAGCCATGACATGTCAAAACATGAATCACATTATTAGATTCAGGTTTTCCTTAATTAACACTTAATATTGTTTTAGGTCTTTTACAATGCAATGTCTGTTAAACAAGTAGATGTTCCATCCTTCTCAGGTAGTTTTGGTATCTTACCTGCGCATGTTCCTACTCTTGCTGTTCTCAAACCTGGAGTAGTTACCGTTTATGAAGACAGTGGCAAAGTTAATAAAATATTTGTATCCAGTGGAACAGTCACAATCAATGATGACTCATCAGTTCAGGTTATTATCTAACTTTTACTGGGAAATTTGATTTGATCATGAAAAGTTAAAGAAATGACGTAATCTTTTTAATATACTTGTTGACAAAATTGTCAAATATGTTTAAAATTAATATTATTTTTATACACAATTTCTTTCATTTACAGTAAAGCACATAATAAAAATGACATACCTAACATTCAAATATGTTTTCCTATATTTTAGGTATATTTTTTTATCGTAAAATAATTTCGACATAGATACAAGTTAGAGAATTTTTTTAAAAAACCAAATTAATATATATTTTATTAACCCTTTTTCAGGAGAATTTGACTTACAATAAATGTATTCTAAAGATAATTTGTAAATTGAGGAATAACAAAAAAAAAATTCTTTTCAAAAAGACAATCGCAGTGTTTAAATAACTCCCCTTATTCAAATTTCTGTTGCTTTAAACTCACTTTGAAGTTTCCAATATTTAATTGTTTTTTTTATTTAATATGAATTTTTTTTATTTAGATTTTAGCAGAAGAAGCTCATCCTGTAGAAAATTTAGATGTTAATGCAGCCAGAGATATCCTCACTAAAGCTCAAAGTCAGTTATCATCAGCTGGCACAGATCAGGTAAAAGATTTTGTAAAAAAAGTAGACATTTATTTATTATTTCTAATTAAAATTACATAAATTCACATTTAAATATGAAGCAGTTTTCCTAAATATCAAGAAATCTTTTGACAATGTTTGGCAGAAAAGTAATGGGAGATATAAATAAGTAAAACC